ATTTGCCACGCATCTCCTGTACCACTACACTCAGTAACAGTAGAGTATTTGCCGACCATCTCCAGTACCACTACACTCGGTAACAGTAGAGTATTTGCCGTCCATCTCCAGTACCACTACACTCGGTAACAGTAGAGTATGTGCCGTCCATCTCCAGTACCACTACACTCGGTAACAGTAGAGTATGTGCCGTCCATCTCCAGTACCACTACACTCGGTAACAGTGGAGTATTTGCCGTCCATCTCCAGTACCACTACACTCGGTAACAGTAGAGTATTTGCCTTCCACATCCTGTATCGCTACACTCGGTAACAGTAGAGTGTTTCCTGTCCATCTCCTGTACTGATACAACTGATAATAACGGGGTCATTTTTATCTCCTGCACTGGTACAGCTAATAAATGTGTCATTATCTCTTCTGTACTGATGCAGCCAGTAATTAGTGTGTAATTATATCTTCTGTACTCATACAGCCGGTAATGAGTGTAATTGTATCTCCTGTAGTGGTACAGCCAGTAATAAATGTTTAATTATGTCTCTTGAACGGATACAGCCACAGATAAGGCCGTTATTATACCCCCTGTTCTCATTAGTCCACCTGTAGCATACAGCTAGTAATAGAAGTGTTATATACAGTAGCACCTGTACTGGTACAGCCTGGAAGAAGCGGACTGTTCTCTTCTCTACTTCTACAGCCAGCTGGGGAAGGAGTGTGTAGGTATATCTCCTGTACTGATACAGCTAGTAACTAGAAGGTATACTGTATATACTGTATCTCTTTGTACTGATACAACATGTAGTGAGTGTGACGCTCTATCACCTGTACCTATACAGCTGTAAGTAAGAGTGTCATTACACCTCCTGTACAGATACAGCCTCTGGTAAGGGTGTAGTTATTTCTTCTGTAAATATACAGCTGTTCATGTTAAGACTCTAATCCTGTAAAGATACAGTCAGTAATAACTGTGTAATTACATCTCCTCTACAGATACAGCCTGCATGAAGAGTGTAATTATATCGTCTGTACTGATAAAGATAGTAAGAGGAGTTTAATTATACAATATCTTCTGTACAGGGCTTTTTTTTTATCAGGAAATAGGTGCAGGTACTCCCCTTCAGAGTCACCCCTTGTCTCCCCCTACCCACCTCCGAGCACTGTCCTTTGGTTCCACCCGCCACCCACCTCCAAGCACCATCCTTTGTTTCCACCCCCTACCCACCTCTGAGCACCGTCCTTTGGTTCCACCCACCACCCACCTCCGAACACCATCCTTTGGTTCCACCCCCTACCCACCTCTGAGCACCGTCCTTTGGATCCACCCGCCACCCACCTCCGAGCACCATCCTTTGGTTCCACCCCCTACCCACCTCCGAGCACCGTCCTTTGGCTCTACCCACCACCCACCTCCGAGAACCGTCCTTTGGCTCCACCCCCCTACCCACCTCCGAGCACCGTCCTTTGGTTCCACCCGCTACCCACCTCCCAGTACTTCTTGGTTTAGATAATATAGGACCAATTGTAATTTTTTGGTGCTAAATAATTTGCACAAAATTTGGTAATGATTACAAGAAAAACAGTACAATAGATACCCTGCAGCCAACAACAATAGACCCCCCAGCAATAATAGATCCCTTCATGCAACCATATATCTCCCCACAGCAATAGATCCCTGTCTGCAACAATAGATTCCTCCCTGCAAAAATAGATCACCCAGCAACAATAGATCCCTCCTTGCAACAACAGATCCTCCTAATAACAATAGATTCATCATAGATTCAGTAATAACAATGTAATTACATCTTCTACATAGATACAGTCAGTAATAACAATGCAATTACATTTCCTATATAGACACAGTCAGTAATAACAATGTAATTACATCTCCTATATAGATAGTCAGTAATAATGTAATTACATCTCCTATGTAGATACAGTCAGTAATAACAATGTAATTACATCTCCTATATAGATACAGTCAGTAATAACAATGTAATTACATCTCCTATGTAGATACAATCAGTAATAACAATGTAATTACATCTCCTATATAGATAGTCAGTAATAATGTAATTACATCTCCTATATAGATAGTCAGTAATAATGTAATTACATCTCCTATGTTACAGTCAGTAATAACTGTGTAAGTGCATCTCCTATGTAGATACAGTCAGTTATCAATGTAATTACATCTCCTATGTAGATACAGTCAGTTATCAATGTAATTACATCTCCTATATAGATACAGTCAGTTATCAATGTAATTACATCTCCTATATAGATACAGTCAGTAATAATGTAATTATATATCCTATATAGATACAATCAGTAATAACAATGTAATTATATCTCCTATAAAGATACAGTCAGTCAGTAATAACAATATAATTTCATCTCCTATATAGATACAATCAGTAATAATGTAATTACAGCTTTTACATAGATACAGTCAGTAATAACTAAGTAATTACATCTCCTGTACAGATACACCTGATAATAGGAAGGTAATTATATCTCCTGTACTGATACAGTCGGCAATAAGATTGTAATTAAATCTCTGATACTGATACCGAGTTACAGAGAGATACACGATCCGAGTGTGTTTAAAGCCTTTGTACTGATTTAGTTGTTATTAAGGGCCCATCCATAAGGGCTTAAAAAATGCTGCATTTAGAGTATGTATGCATCTAATTGCAGCTCTATAGTAATCAATGAGCCCATACACACACAGCTGTGTCTACAGGAAAACGTGCGCTGCATTTAGTCATGCGCAGAAGAGAAGCAGGACACAGCTGCAGGTTGTATGCAGATTTGACGCATGTACTGTGTGAGCATTAATGCTTGTAAACGTGGGTACTGTAGGCTTGTACTCTGCGCAGGATCTTCCTGTCATGTATAAAATACGTGTCTAAACGCAGCATTTTTATAGTCAGTCTCTCCTGTATGGACAGAGCCGGTAATAAGGTTGTATTTTTCTCTTCTGTACAGACACAGTCGGTGATAACAGTACATTTAACTTTTCTGTCCTAATACAGCTAGAAATCAGAGGAACAATCCATCTCCTGTACAGATACAGCCCATAACAAGAGTGATCTCTTTCCTGTATTGATACAGTAAGAATATATGGAAGAGGGGATAGAGTGGAGATCTTCCAATGGGGACGCCAGTTCTGGTGACAACCAGGGATTATTTCACTTTTCAGGGATGTGCATGAGGCCCCAATGGCATCCCTGCGCATTCGGTAAAGTACAGCACCAGGGATGGACTGACAACTCATGGGGCCTCTGGGCAATAGGGGATCATGGGGCCCCTGTGTCCTTGCCCAAACTCAAAAAAGCCTATGAAAAAGGTACTAAGGGCATCTCATGGGGCCGTCTACTGACCCCGGGCCCTCGGGCAGTGCCCAAGATTCCAAATGGTCAGTCCGATCCTGTACAGCACGTTTCTCTGTACAAAATTTTGTGCACATTCTTCAGCCACACAGAGGGGAACCTAACCTTATCATTCCCCATTCACACTTGAGCGTTTTTCAGCTTGACGCTCGACAAGTAAAATCCCTTTATTTCCAATGTTCCCTGTTCACCCTTGAGCGTTCTGCCACCTGTAACAAAATGCCTGTCGCTCAAAAAAAGTACTTGCGCTACTTTACAGGTAGATCTGGGCATTTTGTCCCCATAGACTTGAATAGAAAAAAACGCCTGAACGGTAGGAATGAGCGTTTTTTTCAAGTGTTTTTTCAGGCTTTTTCAGCTCAAACAGCAGCTATTTCTATTTCTATTGGCCACAGCAAAAACACCTAAATGAAAAATGTCTCAAAAAATGCCTATAATATCTGCAAATCTGCTCAAAAAAAATACTCAAAATGCCTGAAAAAAATGCTTGAAAAAGACAATCAAAAATGCTCGGCTCAGTGTGAATGGAGCCTAATGCTCTTTTTTTCAGCGTTGTGTAACCGGCCCCTCTTCCCGGTGGCACACTCCAGCACCCCCCTACCCTTGTGCCCCCCCCCCCCCCCCCCATCCATTAACTCTACCTCCTCCATCACTCACTTTTGGGCTCAAAAAAATGCTTGAAGACGCCTGAAAAAAAAGCTTGAAAAAGACACTTGAAAAATGTTCAGCTCAGTGTGAATGGAGCTTAATGCTCTTTTTTGGAACAGTGCCAATCAGTGCTACAGTGGTATTAATGGTGATTTGCTTGCACTGAGGTGGTATCAGTACCCTCTGAGAATGTGGGCAGTACTGTTTTATCACTCTCCTGCTAGCAGGGTATTAATACTCTCCAATGATCCTGGTGTCAGTGGCAGGTAGTAGGGTGTCAGTTGCTGGCTGGTGTTGTCGCTGTCATTTGCAGGTTGTCAGGACATGACTGCTCACACATTGCTGCTAGTTAGTGCTCATGAATTAATGACACTCTCTAGCAGTGCACATGAATAATGGATCGGCAGGGCCGGTGTCTGTCATCATGAATAATGGATCAGTACTAGTACCAGGCTATTTGCAATGCTTCGCTGCTAGTCAGTGTTGTGTAACCGGCCCTCTTCCAGGTGGCACACTCCAGCACCCCCCCATACCTGTGCCCCCCCCCCGTCCATTAACTCTACCTCCTCCATCGCTCACTTTTGGGCCCGAGTCCTTCCTGGAGGCATTTTTGCTAAAGCACTTAAAGTCATTCTGCCACCGGCACTTAGGCCTACCGCAGTCCGCTAATTAGATCAAGGGGAAGCGTTTCTGACAAGCCTGACGGTATTCAGATTAATATGACAAAGGAGTACAAAATTCACTCTTACAGCTACTGTGTCTGCAGTGCCCAGGCACCTCCTGACTCCAGGCAGGCGAGGGTTAAACAGGAGGCAGAAAAAATTGCTCATTTTTACACTGCTGATTAACGTGCAACTTTAGCATACACTTAAAAAAAAAAAAGAAAGTAAATTGGTTCCTCCGTTGTTTTCTACAGATTATAAACCCCAGGTGGTCATAAATTAAAGGGTTACTAAGCCCAGGACCCTGCATTTACTATATCCAATCTCCCCGGACCCTGCATTTACTATATCCAATCTCCCCTGACCCTGCATTTACTATATCCAATCTCCTCGGAGCCTGCATTCACTATATCTGGTCTCCCCGACCCCGCATTCACTATATCTGCTCTCCCCGGACCCTGCATTCACTAATATCCGCTCTCCCCCGCATTCACTATATCCGCTCTCCTGGACCCTGCATTCGCTATATCTACTCTCCCCCGGACCCTGCATTCACTATATCCGCTCTCCCCGGACCCCGCATTCACTATATCCGCTCTCCTGGACCCCGCATTCACTATATCCGCTCTCCTGGACCCTGCATTCGCTATATCTACTCTCCCCGGACCCTGCATTCACTATATCCGCTCTCCTGGACCCCGCATTCACTATATCCGCTCTCCTGGACCCCGCATTCACTATATCTGCTCTCCTGGACCCTGCACTCACTATATCCGCTCTCTCTCCCCAGACCCTGCATTCACTATATCCGCTCTCCCCGAATCCTGCATTCACTATATTCCCTCTCCCCGGACCCCGCATTCACTAAATCCACTCTCCCTGGAACCTGCATTCACTATATCCGGTCCTCCCCGGACCCTGCATTCACTATATCCGGTCTCCCCGGACCCTGCATTCACTATATCTGCTCTCCCCAGACCCTGCATTCACTATATCTGGTCCCCCAGGACCCTGCATTCACTATATCCGCTCTCCTGAACCCTGCATTCATTCAATATCCCCAGGACCCTGCATTCACTATATCCGCTCTCCTGGACCCTGCATTCACTATATCCGCTCTCCTGGACCCCGCATTCACTATATCCGCTCTCCTGGACCCTGCATTCATATCACTACCCTATTCACTATATCCTCTCCCCAGACCCTGCATTTACTATATCCACTCTCCCCGGACCCTGCATTCACTATATCCGGTCTCCCCGGACCCTGCATTCACTATATCCGCTCTCCTGGACCCCGCATTCACTATATCCTCTCCTGGACCCTGCATTCACTATATCCGCTCTCCCCGGACCCCTGCATTCACTATATTGGTCTCCTCGGACCCTGCATTCACTATATCCGCTCTCCCCGGACCCCTGCCCTCACATATCATCCTGCATTCACTATATCGCTCTCCCGGACCCCGCATTCACTATATCCGCTCTCCCCCGACCCTGCATTCACTATATCTGCTCTCCCCGGACCCTGCATTCACTATATCCACTCTCTCCCCGACCCTGCATTCACTATATCCGCTCTCCCCGGACCCTGCATTCACTATATCCGCTCTCCCCGGACCCTGCATTCACTAAATCCGGTCTCCCTGGACCCTGCATTCACTATATCCGCTCTCCCCGGACCCTGCATTCACTATATCCGCTCTCCCGGACCCTGCATTCACTATATCCGCTCTCCCCGGACCCTGCATTCACTATATCCGCTCTCCCCGGACCCTGCATTCACTATATCCGCTCTCCTGGACCCCGCATTCACTATATCCGCTCTCCCCCTGGACCCTGCATTCACTATATCCGCTCTCCCCGACCCTGCATTCACTATATCCGCTCTCCCCGGACCCTGCATTCACTATATCCGCTCTCCCCGGACCCTGCATTCACTATATCCGCTCTCCCGGACCCTGCATTCACTATATCCGCTCTCCCCGGACCCTGCATTCACTATATCCGCTCTCCCAGGACCCTGCATTCACTATATCCGCTCTCCTGGACCCTGCATTCACTATATCCGCTCTCCTGGACCCTGCATTCACTATATCCGCTCTCCCAGGACCCTGCATTCACTATATCCGGTCTCCCCGGACCCTGCATTCACTATATCCGCTCTCCCCGGACCCCGCATTCACTATATCCGCTCTCCCCGGACCCTGCATTCACTATATCCGCTCTCCCCGGACCCTGCATTCACTATATCCGCTCTCCCCGGACCCCGCATTCACTATATCCGCTCTCCCTGGACCCTGCATTCACTATATCCGCTCTCCCTGGACCCTGCATTCACTATATCCGCTCTCCTGGACCCTGCATTCACTATATCCGCTCTCTCCCCAGACCCTGCATTCACTATATCCGCTCTCCCCGGACCCTGCATTCACTATATCCGCTCTCCCCGGAACCCTGCATTCACTATATCCCTCTCCCCCCGACCCTGCATTCACTATATCCGGTCTCCCCCGGACCCCGCATTCACTATATCCGCTCTCCCCGGACCCTGCATTCACTATATCCGCTCTCCCAGGACCCTGCATTCACTATATCCGCTCTCCTGGACCCTGCATTCACTATATCCGCTCTCCTGGACCCTGCATTCACTATATCCGCTCTCCTGGACCCTGCATTCACTATATCCGCTCTCCTGGACCCCGCATTCACTATATCCGCTCTCCTGGACCCTGCATTCGCTATATCTACTCTCCCCCCCGGACCCTGCATTCACTATATCCGGTCTCCCCAGACCCTGCATTCACTATATCCACTCTCCCCGGACCCTGCATTCACTATATCCGCTCTCCCCGGACCCTGCATTCACTATATCCGCTCTCCTGGACCCTGCATTCACTATATTCGCTCTCCTGGACCCCGCATTCACTATATCCGCTCTCCTGGACCCCGCATTCACTATATCCGCTCTCTCCCCAGACCCTGCATTCACTATATCTGGTCTCCCCGGACCCTGAATTCACTATATCCGCTCTCCCCGGACCCTGCATTCACTATATCCGCTCTCCCCGAATCCTGCATTCACTACATCCGCTCTCCCTGGACCCTGCATTCACTAAATCCGCTCTCCCCCCGGACCCTGCATTCACTATATCCGCTCTCCACGGACCCTGCATTCACTATATCCGCTCTCCACGGACCCTGCATTCACTATATCCGCTCTCCCTGGACCCTGCATTCACTATATCCGCTCTCCCCGGACCCTGCATTCACTCTATCCGGTCTCCCCGGACCCTGCATTCACTATATCTGGTTTCCCCGGACCCTGCATTCACTATATCTGGACTCCCTGGACCCTGCATTCACTATATCCGGTCTCCCACAGTTTACAGAACATGGAAGTGCAATTATTTTAGTAAATATAAACTGCTAAATACCTTTTCTCATCAGCAGTGAGAGCAGTCTTGTGACTTCAGTGTCCAGCAGAGCACTGGTTAAAGCTTGTAGGAGGAGTTTTCCTGACCCTCTGTCTGGACAGTGCTGATTGGCCCTGTGCTGATCACATGCACTCTCCCAAGAAAAAAAAAAAAAACCTCTCTAGCAATACACACCAAACTGAGCATATGCAGAAGGGCTGCCATGCAGTCTGTCTTATCAGGAGATTAGAGGTGGACATTTGAACAAGAGGAGGATCAGAGAAGACAGGATCAAATAGCCTTTTTACACAATGAAGAGGATTAACCCTTTAGGTTGCACAGTGAGTATAACAAGCATGCTTTACTGCAGGGGTGGGCAACTATGGCCCTCCAGCTGTTGGTGAACTACAAGTCCCATCATGTCTCTGCCTTTGGGAATCATGCTTGTAACTGTCAGTTTTGCAATGCCTCATGGGACTTGTAGTTCTACAACAGCTGGAGGGCCACAGTTGCCCACCCCTGCTTTACTGCATATACAGACTGATTGTACTGTTGTGGGTTTAGTAACACTTTAAGGTCATATACATTTTGTATATCTGTGAATGCGGGGTCCGGGGAGACCGGATATAGTGAATGCAGGGTCTGGGGAGAGCGGATATAGTGAATGCAGGGTCCGGGGAGACCGGATATAGTGAGTGCAGGGTCCGGGGAGAGCTGATATAGTGAATGCAGGGTCCGGGGAGACCGGATATAGTGAATGCAGGGTCCGGGGAGACCAGATATAGTGAATGCGGGGTCCTGGGAGACCAGATATAGTGAATGCAGGGTCCGGGGAGACCGAATATAGTGAATACAGGGTCCGGGGAGACCGGATATAGTGAATGCAGGGTCCGGAGAGACCAGATATAATGAATGCAGAGTCCGGGGAGACCAGATATAGTGAATGCAGGGTCCGGGGAGACCAGATATAGTGAATGCAGGGCCCGGGGAGAGCGGATATAGTGAATGCAGGGTCCGAGGAGACCGTATATAGTGAATGCAGGGTCCAGGGAGAGCGGATATAGTGAATGCAGGGTCCGGGGAGACCAGATATAGTGAATGCAGGCTCCTGGGAGACCAGACATAGGGAATGCGGGGTCCGGGGAGACCAGATATAGTGAATGCAGGGTCTGAAGAGACCGGATATAGTGAATGCAGGGTTCGGGGAGACCAGATATAGTGAATGCAGGGTCCGGGGAGAGCGGATATAGTGAATGCAGGGTCCTGGGAGACCAGACATAGGGAATGCGGGGTCCGGGGAGACCAGATATAGTGAATGCAGGGTCCTGGGAGAGAGGATATAGTGAATGCAGGGTCCGGGGAGAGAGCGGATATAGTGAATGCAGGGTCCGGGGAGACCAGCTATAGTGGATGCATGGTCGAAGAGACCGGATATAGTAAATGCAGGGTCCGGGGAGACCAGATATAGTGAATGCAGGGTCCGGGGAGAGCGGATATAGTGAATGCGGGGTCCTGGGAGACCAGACATAGGGAATGCGGGGTCCTGGGAGACCAGACATAGGGAATGCGGGGTCCGGGGAGACCAGATATAGTGAATGCGGGGTCCTGGGAGACCAGACATAGGGAATGCGGGGTCCGGGGAGACCAGATATAGTGAATGCAGGGTCCTGGGAGAGAGGATATAGTGAATGCAGGGTCCGGGGAGAGCGGATATAGTGAATGCAGGGTCCGGGGAGACCAGCTATAGTGGATGCATGGTCCGAAGAGACCGGATATAGTGAATGCAGGGTCCGGGGAGACCAGATATAGTGAATGCAGGGTCCGGGGAGAGCGGATATAGTGAATGCAGGGTCCTAAGAGACCAGATATAGTGAAAGTAGGGTCCGGGGTGAGCAGATATAGTGAAAGCAGGGTCCGGGATGTAGTATCACTTTAAGGGCTCATGCAGACGGGTGCTAAGACCCCGTCCTCTAAGCTGAGCCACTTTTTGCTGAGTGCGCATTCACCTCAAAGCTGCATGCAGGCACCCCATAGGAGTAGATGCAGATGCAGTGACTGCATAGTCACAGCCATATGTCAAAATCTGACATGGCGGTGGGAGCGGGTATATGGATCCAAGCGCACAGTGTCTGCTGCTCCTTCTTTTAAAAATCAGGTACTTACCAGCCCATGGAGTCCAGAGCTGTCCTTCCATGGCTGGTCATTTTACCACAGTGGGTCCCTGGAGCTGCCCTTTTGGATATGGGAGCCAGCTGTGGCTCCTTGAGGAACCACAGCCAGTTTCCCACGGCACGTGCACAAGCTTTCAAGGTGCTCTGTGAATGGCCCTACAGCCTCCTGGGACATGTGACGTGTCCCATGAGGCTGCGGGAGGGTGGAGGTATGGGACATTGTAAGAATCTGTACTCGCTCCCCCAAAAATAAAACCTGTAATTCAGCTACTGGTTGGTGGGAGGGAGTGAACCAGAAGTAATGGATGGGCATAGATTATTTTTGAAAAAGAACAATATAATTTAAGATAAGTTAAGGACAGAGCAGGAGACGTTCAATATTTGACCTCAAGCACTGTGCATACTTCTGGAGAAAACAGCCAATCATAGGAGAGATTTACATTCCTATGACTATTATGTACACAAAGTATGTTTGCTATGGCTGCAAGGAGGGAACATTTTGCTTTAGGTAATTCCAAATATCGCTTATTGCTGTTTTTTTTTTTCTGGAGCTTTGAGGTGCAGTGCATTGGTGTAAATCCCCTAAGAACAAAAAAAAAAAAAAAAAATGAACAGTGAAATTAACCACATATAAAAAAAAGTGCAGGAGGGTGCTTTAGCCAACTGTTTGGCATAGCTTTTATATTCATTATATCATTTGTTTGTACTAAAGCAGAGTTGATGCCCCACCCGCCAATGTGTTCCATGGTCCTTTATCTGCTGGGAGATGCCTAGCAAAGTGAAGACTTAGCTTAGATTACGAACAGCCACTTTGGAAAGTTCTGCATTGCCGGAGATTCCCATTTGGATCCCGGGTTCCCTGTGGATGAAAGAGCTTTTCTTGCCAGTTACATGAAGAGGAAAAAAAAAATAAAGTGGAATGCGTTAAAAAAAGTTGCCAGACTCTGCAAAAAGTAGTAAAACTGTGTCAGCTCTCCAGTGGTTCCATACTAGGGGATAATTAAGCTGCCAATGCCAACTGCCTGGACCTTTATCATTAGATGAGCCTCAGGGATAGATACTGTGCCTAGGGATTAATATTATGTGGGGTTGGCAGGAGGGGAGGACTGTGAGAAACCACATAGGTATTAGCAGAGTCCTCACATAGAGAGGGAGGAGGAAGGACAGCTCCCAGCCTTGCATTGAGAAGCAGCCAAGAGCTGTCCATGGTGCTGAAATCAGGCTCTTTATCTCATCTATGCACCTTACCAACTGCCAGGCTGGCCTTGGCATGAGCTAAGAGCTTGGCATGGCCTCTCGTTATCCTCTAGGTCTAGGACCACAAGGTACTTGAGGCATTGTTAATGCCTTTGTAAAGACTGCCAGCCTCCTAATAGCTGTGGAAGAGGGGAGATATGGATATTGTTTGAAGTATAATTCCACCTTTGAATACATTTTCAGCGATAAGTGGCTGAGCTAGATCAGAGAATATTGGTTTTCTACAGACGAATTGATAATGTGATAAGAGCAGCAATGGAAAATCCGGTGATTTGGTGGAGTGAAGCCCATTCCTGGATACCAAATATTGTTAGATTTGGCTAGTGATTTAGTGAATGGATAAAAAAGCCTTGCAAAGGACCACTTACCACCCTCTCCCCCTCCAATAGAAGAAGCCCATGCTTCAAGAGAACCCTCCCCCTTGGTGATATCCAGTATAGTTCTTATTGGGGCAGTGATGTCACACAGAAGGTAACCCCTTATGACATCACTGAACTAATAAGGAACTACAATACTTATTAGGTAAAAAGTCTTGCAAAGGACCATCTTCCCATAGAGGAAGCCCAAACTCAAAGAGAACACCGCCTTGGTGGTTTCCAGTATAGTTCTTAGTGGGTCAATGATATCACACAGAGTGTTTCCACCTTATGACATCACTGTCCTAATAGGGAACTACAATTCTTACTAGGTAAAAAGTCTTGTAAAGGACCACTTACCACCTCCCTTTACCATAGAGGAAGCCCAAGCTCACTGAGAACACTCCCCTTGGACATCTCTAGTATAGTTCTTATTGGGGCTGCGATGTCACATGGAGGTTTCCAACCTTATGAGATCACGAACCTGGTAAGGAACTACAAAACGTATTAGGTAAAAATTCTTGCAAAGGACCACTTACTACCTCCCCCCCCCCCCCCTCCCGTAGAGGAAGCCAATGCTCAAAGAGAACACTTCCCTTGGTGATTTTCAGTATAGTTCGTATCGGGGCAGTGATGTCACATAGAGGGTTTCCCTCTTATGACATCACTGACCTAATAAGGAACTACAAAACTTATTAGGAAAAATGTCTGGCAAAGGACCACTTACCACCACCCTTCCCATAGAGGAAGGCCATGCTCAAAGAGAACACTCCTCCTTAATGATCTTCAGTATAGTTATCGGGGCAGTGATGTCATTTAGAGGGTTTCCCTCTTATGACATCACTGACCTAATAAGGAACTACAAAACTTATTAGGAAAGGTGTCTTGCACAGGACCATTTACCCCCACTCTTTCCGTAGA